TCAGTGATATGTTTTCTTAGCTCCTCCATCTCAACGCGGCTCATGCGGTAAGGAGCAACCAAAATGGGCTGGGTGTCTGGCTGTAAATCTATGGTGAACTCGACTTCCCTATCCACTGGCAGTCCAGGTAGCTCATCCGGAAACATATCTGGAAAGTCTCGGACTACCGGAATCTCTTGAATACAATTTTCTTTCTTGAGTTTGCCTAATTAGAGAAAATAGTAAGGTTAAGATACTCGACAATTAAGAAAGCTTACTATCAAGGAATAAGTACTAAATGATTTTATTAATTTGTAAATGGCTCCTTATTAGTAGGATTAAATACAACCTTCTTGCTAAAGCAATCTATGGTGACGTGATATGCCGCTAGCCAATTCATCCTTAAAATTACATCAAAATCCCCCGTGTCTAATTCTATCAGGTCTACACTTAGTTTCTTATTTACTATCTCCACGCACAAGCCCTGTAGACAACTTCTCCCAATAGTGTTACACTCCCAACAGTAGACACAAATAACATTGAATCAAGTTTATCAGGTAATACATTAAATTTGGATGCAAAAACAAGTGAAACAAATGAATGCAATACACCAGTGTCAAACAAAACATGAGTAAGATGGTTACAGATCAGTGTACATACCCTGTACCACGTTCGGGTCGGCATCGGCATCCTGCTGGGTGAGGTTGTAAGCCCTACCCTGGATAAGAGGTCTTCTATGATTCTGGTTCATTAGGCACTTTATCACATAGTGTTGAGCACTACCACATATGCGACAGGCATTGTTGAGGCGGTAGCATGGTCGGTCCCTGTGATCCCTGCCGCAATGCTGACAGATCTTACCACGTCTTACCACTGGAGCCTGAGGGGGAGCTTGGATCACCGGTCTGGGCCTCTTGTTCTGTTGGACAAGCGTTGTAGGAGCTGGTCTGCGGGGTGGAGCTGAGGGTATGTGGTTCCCTACTGACTGAGAGAGGGTGTGGAGGCTCCTCTCCACTAACTGTGACTTGGCCAGAACGACCGAGTAAGTCCAGAGCTCCAGTACAAATAAATGCTGCTTGATCTCTAGGCAGAGGCCCTAGTGGAACCTCCTAGCCTTCCTGCCCTCATCCATCAAAGTCTTAGGGGAGTATCGGCCCAACTCCAGGAACTTACGAGCATATTCTGACACCGTCATGTTCCCTTGGACCAACTGGACAAACTCTATCTCATTCAGATGTCGGATGTGCTTTAAGAGGTACTCTGCATGAAAGGCTGCTAGGAACTGTTCCCGAGTAACTGGAACAGGCAAGGTGGTTTGCTTGAGTTCCCACCAGCGGTCTGCTTCTCCCACCAGCATGTAAGTAGCAAGGGTGATCCTCTACTCGGGAGTAACTCCTAGGATCTTGAAGGCCTTCTCCATCTCTGCCAACCAGTACTGGGCATCTTCAAAAGAGGATTTCCTTGCAAAAGTAGATGGGTTCAATCTCCTGTACCTCTCTACGTATCCTGGGTCAATCATGAAAGGAGTTGGGTCCCGCAGAATAGGGACTGGGCCAGGCTGAGGATGGACTAGGGGGCCCTGTGGTGGTACTTGCTGATATGGTGAGGCTATTGGATTATACTGTGGCAGTGTCAGGCAGTACTGTGGCTGGGGCACCGGATTATACTACGGCGGTAGCACCGAGTGATACTGTGGAGGAGCAGGCTCGTACCGGGGTGGCTCGGGATCCTCTCGCTGCAGTGGTGGCTCAACCTGTGACAGTTGGGGAGGGTCGGGTAGCTCCCTTCTCTCCTTTCAACCCTGCTGGGCAGCAATGAGTCTCTCTAGCATCTCAAATATCTTATCAACGTCTTCCCAAAGCGAACCATCCTGGGCTGCTCAGTTCAGTAGGGGTCTTCCTCTTCTCATCTCTTCGTACCTGCATTTCACAAGGAATGGTTGAGTAATGATTCATTGGTTTAGTGTTTCTCTAAGTATCATTGTGTAAGGGATGAGTCCGAACAACGCGACTCTGATACCAACTGTAACGACCCCAAAAATTCAAAAAGAAATGCATATAATAATATGAGTGCGGAAGCGAAATAAAAGATTAAAATTAACATCCCTTACACAATAACTTAAAAGTACTAAATAATATCATAAAATAAGTTCTCTAAAAGAAATACGAGAAAGTGAGAAAAATAAAAGAAACTATAAAACATCTAGCATCTACTCGCCGTTTTCTTCTAGATCGGGCTCGGGAACCAGGTCCTCCTGATTTGAAATGGTTAAATAAGGAATGAGCTACACTAGCCCAGTAAGGACATCACACTATATCACTGTCACAGAAGCAAAGGTTGGTAGAAAACCAAAAACAACCAATGGAGTAGTAGATTTAAACAAATTCATTTATCAATAATCAAACCAATTACCGTCCACTTACAGGAGTGAGATTTATAAAAACGACATATGGAAATAATAACATTATAAATATCATGAATTCATATATAATATGTAACATAGTACATATCATACTTTTATATTTAAATCATCAAACAACAATTGCCATTTTTTATCAGCCTACTAGTATCCATGGGGATCCATAATGGTCCCCGCTTCACGTGAACCATTCCTCTTAACAATCTTAATTCTAGGGTCGTCCCCATACCTCGTCTGGTATAAGCACCAAAATAATAAACCTCAATACCTCGTCCGGTATGAAGGTAAAGCAGGTCGTCCCCATACCCCATCCGATATGAGACAACGTTCACAATAGGGTTTCCTATAAACCCGGTCCGTCTACCATCTCCCAAGATATCTAGTGAGGCTGTCACCATATCCATTTATCAAATCACATCCCATTCCTATTTGTCCTTAATCTCCGTTACCAACTCAAACATAAATACATAAATAAGTAACGTGCATCCAATAAAGCAAGCATATCTTAGATTCCCAAAATCAAACAGTAGTGAAGTAAGCAGTGATTCATGCATTTAAAACCATAAAATAGATAAACCAGATAGCATAACGCATTTAAACTGTAAAATAAATCAAGCAGGAATCGACAGAGAATAATGTCCGATTTCGAGCTCCATTAGCAATCTTAATTAATTATGCATATCCATTAATTTACAAAAAATGCAGTATTACCATTTATTCGAACTTTAATTCCATGATGAAAAATAGGGTGAGGGGTCCTTACTTGATTTGACGTCGAAAACTAGATTTTCACTGCGCCTACGGGCAGTCCCTAGTTCCCTGAATTTTTTTTCGGGAACTGAAACGCGCTTATGGTACCTACACATGTCTCAAATAACCTAAAAAATAAGACCCAGAGCCTACTTGGCTAATTTTGAAATTATGGCAGGGCGGTTCTGCCGTGCTCTGGCGACGGCGTCGCCGCTCGCGGCAACGATCTGCCTCGGGTTGGCTGTTTTCGATCATTCTCGGCCGAATTCAGCTAAACTTGCATCGGTTCTTGTGAGAAAACACACTTAGGGCCCTTGATGGGTAGAAAAAATGTAAAAAATCGAAATTCACCGGTGGTGGGGCTCTCCGGCGCGGCGGCTCCTCTGGCTCACGTCGCGGTTGGGTGTTTTGCTCCAATTAACCTGTAGAGGAGAAAACGGTGATCACAACGGTGAAAAAATCACATCGAACGAAAATCGAAAAGGGCCTCATCGAAGGCAAAAATCGAGACACCCCGCAGCGGCACCGCTGTGCTTCGGCGGCCTTTTTCGGCCAATTGGCCGGTGCTTTCGCTCCGATTTGGCCATAGGTGGGTTTAGAATCACATTCTGAGCAAATGGTAAAATTTTTACCTCGTTTGGCGGCCAAAAATTGCACTAGTATAGCAGCGGGTGGCGGTGGTCGGCTCCCCGGTGGCTGGGCTATCTTCTCCGACGATGGGCTCTGGCGGCTAGGGCTAGGATTTGGGTGCGGATGAGATTATTTATACTCATCCGCTTTTGATCTGAGCCGTCTATCACTTTTAATCTGGACCGTCCGATCGCGATTAAATAGAGAATGAATCTGGGCCGCGTATCGCGATTCAATCTGGGCCGTCTGTGCGTGATTCAATCTGGGCTGTCCGTGCGCGATGCAATCTGGACCGTCCGTGCGCGCGGGAACGAATCTAAACTGTTCGATCGCGCGCATGCGGATCGCCTACGTGGCTCCCTCCCGCGTGGCCTCCCGCATCAGCGTCTCTGCTCCCTGGCGCGTCCTAGTTGGCCGGGGCTGCTGACCGGACAGCTAACGTGGCACAACTTTTTTAAATTGCATTTTGATCTCCGGTTTCGATTTTTCTTTCAAAAATACTCCTATAACTTAAATTTTCACTCTTTTTTTCCAAAATTATTTTTAATTAAATCTCTAAATAATTTTTTTTTCCTTTTTATTATTATTATTATTTTTATTTCTATTAAAATAAAATAAAATAAAAATAAAAAATGAAAAGAAATTTTTTGGGTGTTACAATGTTAGTGGAAGGAAATTAGGAGACCAACATTCTGTATGTGTGTGATGAATTTGGAGTTTAGGCAAAAGAATATGATATAATATTATTTATGGCTAGAATTAGCAAGCATTTAGTGGCTTAGTCATTTCTGTGTGATGAATAGCTTTTTCTTTTTTTTTTCTTTTAATTGACTTCTCCCTCAACTTATTCACTTTTTTTTTAATAATAAATTTATTTATTTATTAATGAATTAATATATATATATTTATTATAATATAATAAAAATAATTTTTAAATAAAAATACAAGTACAATTTTTATTAAAAATAAATAAATTAATTAATTATTCAATAAATAATGACTTTACATTTAAAAAAAAAAAAATTAATCACCTTCACTGGGACGCATTTTGATCATAACACGATGAACAATAATTAGATTATATAAGAACAAACCAATCAATTTTTTTTTATAATTTTAATCCTCACTTCACATTAAAAATAACACAATTGTTTATCAATAGCATACACAGCACAATTTATTAACAGGAATAATTATTTTAGGAAAAAAATTTGACTGTAAAGACCTGAATATCTCATGAACTAGATTAGCAATCTTTAAATCAATAAATAATACAATTTAATTTCTTAAAATTTTCTTCTTCTTCTACTTAGTCGAGCTTTTAACTATCTCTCCCCGCATATTTGCAAAATAAATTAGATATACATATATATATCGTAGTAAATTAATATTTGTATAATTCAATCACAAGATCCAGTCACATGGCGTGGGAGAGTTGCAGGTAGGATAAGAGGCCGCCATTGAAACGTCATCGTTTAGTAAGTAGAAATTGGCGAAATCCAAGCAAGGGTCATGTGGAAGATGCTGGTTGGTGACAAGGTTTAGCCTCAGTAACTCGTCTGTTTGCGCCTGCAAAATCAACGCCTGAGCTCGCGTTGATTGAAGCTGAGTTTCCAGTTCTTGAACCATCTTTTGCAGGTGAAAAATAGCTCCAGTGCTGCCATATACAGGATCTCTCATTCTCGCCCTTGCTTCGAACACAATCGCTTTCACCGCATCTTCCCTCTTCGTCTCCTCCACCATCTGCATGCTCCCATACACACACACATAAATATATACGTATATCATTGTTATTTGTATATAAGTATTACAAATCCATGTACGGAATTAGACGATGATGCTCACCTGAATCATTTTGATAACGTTGCTGGCACCGAAAACCCGATGCACGCCGGCAAATTTCTCCATATCATCGCTGGGAAAATAGGGTGCAAGTAGGCAATTAGTGTCACATCTGCGCCGCAGCATCCTACAAGCAGAGCAGGGCTGATGGGTCCTGGATCTGGCCACCCCTTGCTCATTCATTTCTTTTTTTAAATATATTACAACTTACTTCTGTTCCAATTTTCAAAGTGTTTTATACATATACATATATATATATATATATATAGAGAGAGAGAGAGAGAGAGAATGATAACATTAAAAAAGTGCAAAAAAGTAAATTAAAGAGGGAAATTATTTAAGGTTGTTTGTGTTAGGGGCATTGATAATAGATTGTCAAAAGTGTTGAGTGCAAGGAAGGTGGTGAGGCGGCCACTTAAGGACATGTTTGAGACGATAAGGGGTTGAAAATTAAGGTGAGACTGTGGACCTAACAACAGCAGCAAGCATTAGGATTTTGCCAAACATGGCATAAGACAAGTAGACGGAAGAAAGCGAAGTACTCTTGTATATATATATATATATATATCATATTCCAATTTCTAATTGATTGTTTTTCACTATAAGACGAGATAAACACCAACCAACTTAATTTCTTATTGGTACCGTCACAGCTCATGCTCCTCACATTCAAACCGCACGTGTCAAAAAGCGGTCGTTTATGTTTGAGACTGCAAAGCTACACACGAAAGCTGCACTTATTGGCCTACCCGTTTGGCACAACTGATTGATCTTTATGTTGTTAGAAGGGATAAAGTGTAAATACTCATAGTTTGGGGTTAAAACTGTAAATTGTCCTAAATTATGTTCCTACCATAAATACTGAGAGAAATTTCTTCATTACTACAAGTTTTCATTTTTCCCAAAATGCAAAGATCGGGTTTCTGTTTCTCTCTTACTTTCTGGCCTGCCAAACAACAATCTTTCTTTCAAATTCATAGGGTTTAGTGTGTATTTTCCATCAAACACACTTCTAAACTCATCACAAAATCTAATATATGTTGCAAATTGATGAAATTGCTTTTATAATAATTTTCGGTAAAATGGTTACAAAATATTTATTTTAACTTTATTATTTTATTCAATGTACATATATATAATTTTTAAGATATTTATAATAAATATTAATCTATTACTTAATAAAACATAAAATTAATAAATTTATTTATCTAATTTTTTGTTTTATTTTTACCACCTAAATATACTTTCAACGTTTGGTTAAGGTGGAGACGTTCGCTTTTTCACAGAAAAAGACAAAAGTTGAAATTGGGCCAAACGGACACTTGTATTCGGCTTATTATCATTTCCTACATAATATAAAGGAAATTTTGGTCTTTTTAATTTTGACTTTAACACCTACAGAAAATTCTACAGAGTTCCGTTCTTTTCTTTAGAAAGACTTACTGAGTTAATTGGGTATTAAGATTGTTCAAAAGGAAGCTTTGAATGGGTCAATCGTGGTGTTATATATATATATATATATATTCTCTTCCTTTTGTGCCGTACCTTGGCTTGTGGTGATGAATTTCATTCTCATATAGTCTCTATTGTGCAGAATATATATATATATATATGTATATACATGCTTGTTTATATGGGTCTAATCATCTACCTATATATATGTATGTTGGATTAAAAAGTAATAATAAAAGTAGCTCTATTGCTGTAAAATTTGTGGGCTTGAAACTTCTGAATTAACAATAACATGTATCTATGTGTTATTGCAAAACTGAAATGCCAGGAAGAAACTTTTCCATGGGATTTTTCATTGATCGCCAATTTTTTTTTTTTTTATGTAAAAAAAATTAGATTACAAAGTTTTTTCTAATTTTTTATGATTACTTTAATTAAAAAATTTTAACTGCTATAAAATATATATTTTTTTCAATATACCTTATAGTTTGTAAAGACAAAATTCAACTTAATCATGTAATTCTATTATTATAATAATAAGCTAAATTTTAATTTCTGATATGAATTAATCATTGTTAGTTTATATAATACACGCACAAAATAACAAATTATATATAATTAATAAATTTTAAATAAATTAAAAAAAATCTTAATTAATAACTTTTGTTTAAAAGTCTTTAATGTTTATCTCTGAAATATATCAATAATTTCTGTGTAATTTATTTCAAATTTTTTTTAATTAATTTAATTAAAGAATAGTAAAATATTATTTGAAATAATAAAAAGATTAGCTTCTTAATAAAATTTCTTATAATAATTAATTTTTTTTTATCTTTGAATTGAGTCTTTTTTTATATCCTAGTTGAACCAATTAAGATTGTATATCTGTGAAAAAAATAAATTTTATTTATAAAAACTTATTTAAAAGTTAATACTTTTTTGTAATTTCTACATTTTTAAATTGAATTTTAGATATATTTCAAATTCTATTTCACTTAAAATTGTGTATCATTTTTTCATAATATTATAAGAGTTTCTAAGCATCTCATAGTTAAAAAATACATTTTTTAAATAGATTATAAAATTAAAGTTTATTTGTCTTAAGAATAAATTAAATAAATTTAAATTTATAAACGGACTTTATAAGAATTGTTGGTTCGTTCCAAAATGGACTAAAAGCAACATTTCAGATATGTTTTGTAGACACTGCATTTTAATTTTAATTTTAATTTTTTTTTTTTTTTTTATCAATGAAACAAATAAGTAGCATATTAACTTGTTGTGTCTTTACACTATATAATATTTTTTGAGATTGTAATTATTAACTAAAACAATTTGTCTGGTGAAATTATTTTCTGTAACAAGTATGTGTTGAAGTAGGGAATTTGGAAGCTTAATAATTGGTTTCAAGTATAATAGAGTACTGCAAAGTATTCTAATAGAACGAAGATAAAATGTAATAGTCAGATCCGAAATTTGATTCGGAATTAATTTTAAAATTAAAAAATATATATATATAAATATATATATATAATATAAATTTTAAATGTATAAATTTTTATTTAATGTAAAATTATGAAAAAAATATATGGATGATGAAATTGAAAATAATTTTAGGAAAAATGGGTAAAAATTTGGGTTCGAAAGATATTTTTTAAAAAACAATCGAAAACCAGAGGTCAAAACGTAATTAAGGATATGCTCGATGAATCGGAGAGCGCCATGTGGTAAGGCACGCTGACTCTGTGCCACGCGGGAGGCCATATTGGCAATCCCGCGTGCCTGCGATCGGACGGCCCGGATGTCTTCTCGCGCGCGTTGACAGTCCAGATCAGTTCCCTCATCATGCAAGATAGGACGATCGCGATTAAACACGATAAACGATCCAAATTTGTTCTCTCTTTAAGTTGATTGTACGGTCCAAATCAAGTCGTGATGAACAGTTCAAATTTATTTTCTCTTTAAACGCGATCGGATGGTCGAAATCAAACGCGATGAACAGTATAGATTTAAAGAAGATGTGTATAAATATCTTACTTCACACTGAACTCAAACCCTAGCCGCCAGGCCCCTGCTGCAGAAGAAGAACCAGTTGTTAGAGAAGTGAGCTGACAGCCGTTCGCTGTTGTGCCGGAGCCACCTCCAACCGCCAAAAAAAGTAAAAATTCTTTTATTCGCTCGAAATTTGATTTTGAACACCCCCATGGCTAAATCAGAGTAAAAGGAATTGTAGATGAGCCGAAAAATACGGGTAAAGTCTAGCGGCGTCGCTGTCGGAAAAACCAAAAATTGCCTCCGATAAACCCCTTCCCGTTTTTCATTTCGTGCGATTTTTTCACCATTGTGTTCAATGTTCTGTTTTCTACAAGTGGACCAAAGAAAAAATGTCCAACCGCGAAGGTGAGCCGGTAGCTGTTGCATCGAAAAATTTCGCTGCTAGTTAGTTTTTATTTTTTTATTTTTTTTGGACCAACCGAGAGCCCCTAACGTGTTTTCTCGCAAGGATGTGTATAAAACCAGTTAAAACCGGTCAAAACTGGCCAAAAATGGTCCAACCAAAGCAAATCGTTGCTGTCAGAGAACGACGGTGCTGCCGTGCTGGAATTTTAAAATTGACCGAAAAATGATTTTAACACCGATTTTAGATTTTTTGAGATATTTCTAGGTATGTGAAGCGTGTTTTAATCTCCACAGAAAAATTCAAGAAACTCGAGGACCGCCACTAAGCGCAGTAGAAAGTTCAATATTTCGGATACCAATTCAGGTAAGAATCCTCACCTTATTCCCTACTATGGAATTGAAGTTTAATTATCAAAAATACGATATTTTGCATAATTTAGAAAACTTCGAGAATTAATTACAAGTTACTAATGGAGATAGGACCGGTTATTTATTATTGTTGTTCTGTTAAACTGATTGATTGATTTTACAGTTTGAAATGCATGATAATATACTGGAATTGGTAAAATGATTCAGATATATTTTCTTGATGCATATAATTTTTTGTCTTGTGTTGATTTACGGTTAAATTATGAAAGTGAAAATTAAAAGTAAACAGAAAATTGATTGATTAAGTGAATGAATGAATGGTAGTCTTACGGGATATCTTGAAAGATGGTGGACAAACCGGGTACATAGGGAACCCTACCGTGAACGTTGCCTCATATCGGACAAGTTATCGAGGATTGATGTTTTGGCGCTCATACTAGACGAGATATGGGGATGACCCATTTCACCCTCATACTGGATGGGGTATTGAGGGATGGTATTTTTAGCGTTCATACCGGACGAGGTATGGAGACGGCCGATTAGTTTATAAGGTTGGATGTTGGTTCACGTTAAGTGGAACATCTTTAAGGACCTCCATAGATACCAATAGACAAATAAAAAGGGAAAATTGTTATTCTTACTTACTTGAATATGAGATTATGATGTTGTTGAGCTATTGTCTCTATATGTCGGTTTTAAAAATCTCGCAACAGTAAATATGTAATAAATGATTTTACTTATAATAAATAAATTTACTTAAATTAAGAGCTCAATTGGTTGTTTTTATAATTTTTACCAACTTTCAGTTTCTGTATCGATGAGTAATATGATATTCTTACTGGTCCAGTGTAGTATACCCCTTCATTAACTATTTCAAATCAAGAGGACCAAGATCTGGATCCCGATTAATAAAGAAGTTATGAATAATTCACCATCCGGACTCCTCCAAAGCTAGTGAAAGGTCGTCCTAAGATGCTCAATTGTTAATTTTCGTTAATATCTATGATTTTCGTTTGTTCTTTAAAGGACATTCTCGTAACTCTAATTAACTATTTAAACTA